GATTAACCGTATTTACATTGAACCTTATGGGGAAATTTGATTCGGGTCACGACCAATTCGGATCGCGAGCAGAGTCACGGAACGAATTAAGTTCATGAACCGAGGTACCACTGTATCTAATGTGAAATCATCAAGCAAGGGATGATTTCTCTTCCAGTGGAGAAAACAGGTATATTGCTGAAATACTTTGATTATCCTCTAAAGCAGAGGCGTCACCAGTTGCTGTTTTCCATGTGACCTGGGAACTCCTTTGACATCTTGCTTATAAGAGTGTGAATGTGCTCAGCCCATTTCTATACTATACAGGTTTGTCTTTCAATGTCCTGTCAGTTTAGTCTCATAAGCAAGAAATTAAATGATAGAAAATAACTTATCTTGAAGGCATGTACAAGAAATAATTTAGTAGAAATCCAGAAACAGGATGAAAAAGTTTGTGCTTGATTCATTTCTAAAAGAAGAGGAATCCTGATCTCTCAGTAAATATATCTGACACATTCGTTGTTAAAAGTTACAAAACTGTATCACAAAGCATGGAGATATAATATATGATAGTGATAAATACCAGTAAATATAGTGGTATATGATTCATTGGGAAATGGATACACATTTGAATACCATTTTCATGCATTCAAAGCACTTCATATCCTTTATCTTGCTATAATGGTCTGCTCTGATGTATTTTTAAAAAGCCATTTCATCAGTATAAATTGATTTAAGAAATAAATAAAATAAACAAACTACCCTGTAAGTTAAATCCATAAATACGTTTCTGTATACTTTATACAGGGAAAGAACCATTTTAGTTACATCAGTTCTCATAACACCTGTTGTCACCTATTTTTATTCTTTCCAACCCAATGTAATGTTGGAAAGGAATTATGTATTTATGGGCATGAAACTAATCTGTCTGTCCAGTAGCAGAGTTAGTTTCTGAAAACTTGACAGAATGGTACCAAAGTTGGTGTAGGAGGAGAAGCCACAAAGGAAAAATTGAATTTGAAAATGGGCTGGATCTGGACAAGGCCTCTGGAGGAAAAGGAAAAAAAAATAAATCCAGCCCCCTTCCCCCCGCCACCCTATGTGAGAGAGAGCCATGCGACCCAGAGTAGATCTACTATTAAGGGGCCAGAAGGAACTTCACCAGCCATGCTCTGCATGCTTTCCTTACCTTGTTTAATGTATGATTCTTAGCATGGTATGTAGGGAAATAAAGAAATATAAATGTCACAACAATGCAATCTTCAGTTCAATATCATCTTTGCAATCTGTACTAAGAATAAAGTGGTGTTTATAGGAGATTTCTTTTATGCCCTGTCATTCCCTTTTTTCAAAGTATATCTTATCTCAGACTTTTGCCTATGTAGAAATGGAAGTAGTCAATTTATTTACACCAAGACATTGTACTACTGATTTGGGATTAGTCACAAGGCGTTCCATTTTATTTATTCTATTTATTGTTAAATTTATATGCCACCAATATGATGGATTCCCAGCTGCTTTATTCCAAACATTCCATAGCAGCAATATTTTATATTTAATTAATTTGTATACTCTCCTTGTCCATTTTATCACATAGCTGCTCCCTGCCCTTCCAAACCTAATTCTAACAATGATCCAAGGTTTACAAGAAAAAGGGGAATATTTCCAGCATTTGTTTTGCTGGAAGCTGGTTATAGTTGAAATACCACCCAATAAGTCCAATGGCAATTAATTCCTATTAGATATTGTACAGGTAGTCCTTGTTTAGTGATTGCCTCATTTAGTGACCATTTGCAGTTACGATGGTGATGAAAATGTAACTTTGCAACCAGTCCCCACATTTATGAACTTCCCAGGTCTGTAAAGCAAAGGAAAACTGAAGATCATAAGCACAATAATGGTTTCACTTAGTGACTGCTTCACTTAAGGACTGAGTTGCCAGTCCCAATTGTCACTAAACAAGGACTACCTGTTTAGTGACCACAATTGGTCACTAAAGTGGTAGTGTATAGTGAATATCCCAGCAGCAGAAAACCACAGTTATCTAGACCCATCAGTCCCTTGAATATAAAGCTATTGAATATGCCAACAAAAGGATAGGTTCCACCTATTTCCAAAGTTCCACTCAATCTTTTTCTGTATTCAGAAAGGAATATGTTTAAGGCTATCTCTGATATCCTAGCCTATCTGAATGGATGCTTAAATCGATACCTAGACAAGATACAGTTCCCCATCTTTATGTATGATTTGTCATATTTGCATTATACAAATTTATATATGCATCTCCTCAGCTGTACACTGAAACATGTAATGTATGATATGGCTCAAATGCCATTTTATAGATAGAGTTAGTGCGCTTGCTATGCATAAGAAAGTGTTTTATAGTGAAGTAGGATATGATGGCAACAGTTATTCAATGTTTTAAATACCTATCTTGCTCTTTCCCAGAAAATGTCTGTGTGTGTGTGTGTGCGCACATGCGCATATGTGTGTGAGAGAGAAAATGCTACATCTCATGAAATTGTGGACCTAAATTGTTTTTTTCAAGTGAAAAACAGACAAAAATGTATCTTTGGCCAAAATTGAAATTTTACTAATTTAAATAATTGGCAACCATAGAGCTAAGACACAAAGATTCATGATTTGTTGCAAGCTTCTTTCAGAAATCGTTTTTTTTTTTTTTAAATCAACCTATACATTTCCTGCAGAAGTTTGTAAGAGAGCAGCTTAGGTCTTAGATAACTTAAACAAGAAAAATATCTTGGATACTGAGGAAGTATCAAATGTAACTACATTAAATAAACCAGTTAAGTGTTTGATTATACTATAGTGTTTCATCGGACTTTTTTGCTAATGATTTTATTAACATTAAAAAAACCCAACCAACATCTTTGTACTTGGCTTGTTTGTTAGCAGTTTTTCCTCTCTCATAAAGAAGTCTGCCAAGTCTGACAGTTTTGATTTTAGAAGCTAGCAAGGGCATTTGTCTTCATGTTTATTTCAAAACTATATTATCTGAATCTTGCAAACAACCTAGACGTGTTCAAAATACAATAGATTTTTATAAAAGAGTGATTACTGTGCTAGAAAGTTCATTATCCCCCCAGGAACACATTTAGAAATCCCTTTTTAGCAAAACTCAGAAACAAATTAAACTAAAAATGTCAAAAAATGAATTGGCAATCACTCAGCAACATAAACAAGCACATAGATCTTGGCTTGTTTTTTTCCTCATGAAGTATATATTGTTCAGCCAAAAGGGAACTGCAGTCAAATGAATGCAACAATGTCTATATGCTTGTGTGGCTTTGGGAAGTATTCACACTAGTTTTTATGTGCTAGTGAAATCACATACCAGCTGCATGTTTTATTATTGTTTCACCTCTACTGGACCCATTTTTGATTGGAGGGGGGAAAAAAAAAGCAGGGGGAAGCAAAGCAAATACAAGGAAGATCAATTATATACCTTCCTTGTTATGGGAGCCTGAGAGGTGATTTTTAAAAAAAGTTTCTAAGATAATTTAACTAGGTAGAATGTGGACAAGATACAGGGTAGCATAGAAGCTTGGATATCATAGGAATAAATTGACTTTTACTAACTAAGAGATCCACTTATTTTTACAAATGATTTATAACCCTTCAATACTAGCCTACTCTAACATTATTCCTAATCAAATCTCCCTGATAGGGGGAGGTAATCCTGGGCTTGGACTGAGACCACTCAAACCTGTTGGCCCATCTGCACCTCCCAAATCCTTCTCTCTTAGTTTCCTCCTCCTGCTGGAATATAACCTGGCAGGTTGACTGTTCCATTACCCAATTACCATACAAATGCAGTCATATACTTCAAAAAAGTTATCTTCTGCTGAAAGATAACCCGTAAATAACTAATAAAAATTGCTTTCTCTTAGACTAGTGGTTCTTAAAGTGGGGGTAATTACCAAGGGGTTAATGGAGAATTTTGTAATTGCTTGTTAGTGTGTCAAGGATCCAGTTTGGGACTGCTGCTGCCAAGATGCTTGGGCAAAACAACAGAGTCTGAATTTTTTGTGGGGATAATGATGTTATTTGAGACCAGAAAAGGGGGTAATTGGGTCAACAGTTTAAGAACCATTGTCTTAAACTGTTTGTCAATCATACATACTAGCAATTTGTCATGTCTGGTGCCCTCCAGAAGTTTGAGGATTTCATATGTCTGCCGGGAATTCTGGGGACCATAGCCCCAATGCTAGAGGAAGCCTGATTATTTATATAGTCTATTATATCTTGGATTTATATTCTTGTCCTGGAGCTCAGGTCAGCAGAAGTGTATGTCCTGTCTTCATTCTTTATTCATAACAACCCTGTGAGCCAAGAGTAAGTGGCTAAACAAGGAGATGAACCTGGGGTTATTTCCAATGTTCTAACCAATCCAGCTCAACTTACTGGTTAAGGCTATACATGTTAATAAATGGGAAGATCTTAAAAGAGGAAGAATGAAAAAACAACAGTGGTGACAGAGAGGTACAGAATCTTATTATCTTGCCTGATAATTTTTGATAGCATTATAAAAAAAATTGTAAATATTTAAAAATGAGTAGTCGTGTGTGACTTCCATCTTAACAGGTGAATATGGGAGGTAGGAGATTCTTTCTAATTCACAGTATGCTCTTACCCAGAATTTTTCAGAGCTGTGTTGAAATACATAATTACAAATTTTAGTTGGACCATGAGATCAGCAGTTGGTTTCAGGAAAAGGAAGTCAATATTGTAATCTAACTATCCAGTGATTACTTTATACTTTTTAGGCTGAAATGAGAAAAGGGACAGATTTTAGGTGTGGAGAAGCAATTACATATGTCCTTGTCCTTCAGCCAGTCAGGAAGGAAGGAAGGAAGGAAGGAAGGGAGGAAGGAAGGAAGGAAGGTCCTATAGTGAATCCCCATCTGTCCTGGTTTTCGAAAAATCACTGAAAATCTTTTGAATTTGTCCCTTCCTCTTAGGCCAGGAAGTGAGCCCCAAACTCTAGGATAACTATTTCAGGTTAGGCCAGACTCCCTGACCTTCCATTTCCAACTGGCTCATTCACCCAAATGCAACTTGAAAAAAATTAAATAATATTGAATATATTTTGATGAAAAAAATATGAATTTATAAGAAAAAAGAGAAGGGGGGGAGGAGTTGAGATGGATATTTTTTCTTATAGAAGATATCTTACTTGAGACAGGAACCTAAGATTTATTTGTTTCTTGTATTCAATGGGCATTATTAAATGGGGAGAAGGGGAGCAGATACCATGAACTAATAGATATCATATTTTCTTCATGAGAAGCAGTAATTACATCCAGTCAAATTATGGTAAGTATGTCTCTACTAAGAATAGGAACAAAGCAGAATAATCTGTAGGGCTCTGGTGACTCCTATCTTCCTCTGAAAAGATCTACCTTAATTTGTACTTAGATAGACATTATGGTGATATAGGTTCCATTGCTAATATACAATAAGATGTTATTCTTGCTGATCCCTTGTTGATTATAAAAGTCTTCACCATCCCAGGGTGACCTTCATCTAACGCTGCTGAGTCCAAAGTTATTCATAGTGTTATACCCTTCCTATCCCTCTTTGTGAGGCAGAGAGGATGCATCATACTATTATCAGTCTTACAAAAAATGTTTAACTAAAGGAGGGCTGTATTGGGTATGAGGTGGGAATAGTCTTGGCACACTGTTTGTTCTGTTTCACTACCAGACAATCCTGCCATATCTGTAGCCACCAACTTGAACCTGAAAACATCCAATATTACTAAGTTCTGCTCTGCCAAAGGGCCTTGAATCTTGCTAGATCACATTTAAAGGAATCCTTGAAGAAGCAACAACACCAAAAGGATAACCAAGGATGGAGAAGCTAGGAAAAGTTCTAACCAGACTTGCCTTCTTGTTCCTAGGCAGGATTTATGCCAGATCTTCACAAAGGAATTGTCAACTTTTGCTCTGCTTTCTAGCTCTGGGAGATGGTCTATCTCAAAGGGCTGCCCAGAAACTACAAATAATGTTCAGCCAGAATTTTGTTATATCATTCTCCTATCAGATTAGTTTTGTTTCTAAGTATTTACAAGACAAATGTATCAAAATATAAAACCCATATTCCAGTTGTAGTAATCTCACTTGAAGGGTCTTGAGTTAAAACATTTACAATTAAAAAAAAAAAAGTAAAACCCATAGCTGCAGTTACTTATGACTACTTATGATTAGAGTCTTTCAGAAGTGAAATTAGTTACCTGTAGTTAACTGGTTAATTGCTTTCAAAAGCATTTATAATAGTCTGTTATCAAAAATGTTTATTCAGATAAGCTAACTGTACTGGATACAGTAGGATTTATTTTTATGTGAGAGTAAATACAATTGTAGACTTATTTTCAATTAATTATAGCTGGATTTTGGGATCTATGTTGAGAAGAAAAGATCTCTAAATAAGACATCTCTTTCTAGGCAGGTTTTGAGATATAAAGGCAAGATAATTATTTTGTATTAAAATTTTCAACAATTTTATCACACAGTCACAATGCATTCCCATAATTCAGATTGTGTTTCAATTCGTTTATGCCCAGGTGGATTTAGGAATTTATGTCTTTGCCATTCATGAGATCTCAACATTTAATTATTTTCTTTTTGATATTCTGTTTTATCTCTTCAACCAACCATTCTGTTCATGATTTATGCCCAGTGTAGGCATAAATTGTGTAGAAACAAGTGTCGCAGTTTATGAAGGTGGAAAAAGAAAGAAATGTTCTTCACTATAAGTAGACAATGGAAGTTATCACTATGGGGTGCTGTGAAAACTGATTTATGTGTATTTAGAAACATTAGAATATTAAACAGTGAAGTCAGTTACTTTCTTTCTGTTCTACTGTTGGGGTCAAAAGTACTATATTTTGTTTGTTTATTTATTCATTCGGTTTGTAGGGCTGCCCATCTCATATTCATGACTTTTAAGTATTTAACAATGCTTAAAAACAAGGGAAAAAAACATAGCAAAATTATAAATAATATATATAGCAGCTGAGAAAAACCAACCAAAAACAATTAGCACAACCATGATATGGGCTCAGCCACACATCTAGAGTAGATATATAGTATAGTATTATATACTATATAATGCTTCTAATATGAGTGGTAAGGTATAGTCTGTGATCCTATCTGCACAATCCTGATCATAGTGGGATAGGCCTAAGCCACTGAGTTTTTATACACACACACACACACACACACACACACACACTATTGAATTTTTGATGATTCTGAAGTACCAAATTATTAATCTCAGAATTTGGAGATTAGTCAGAGTATAGTGATTAGCTGTTCGTTTTATTCTTCATCTGAAATTTCAAAGCTAAACTGAGTACTAGATAGACAATCTCACTGAATTTTGCTGGACATCCTTCTAACCATGCTTGGTTAGGAGTGGGCTGTAATCTGTCTGGAACTGACTTTGGTTGATGACAAGATAAACTGATTTAGTGAGAGTGCAGTGACCCCGTTGTGTGCCATTTCTCATATACTAAAGCTCCTGCTAACACTTCTCCAAATTCCATTTACTGTGCAATGGTTCACTGATAGGAGAAATGGATGCTCAGCGTTTGATTTGGCATTTTCTATAAAGTGCAACAAAGTTCCACTTCATTTGTGAGCTGACAAATCTCATGCTCCACATTCACAATCATGGTAATGTTTTGAAAACACATCTGATAATTTTGGTTTTGATATAACAGAAAAGTCAGCTTGGAAAATACCATTAAAAAAACCTTTGGCATTTCAATACACACAGACAATCTCCTTAGCTTGTTTCATTGAAACCAAGGGTTTCAGAGTAGAAACTGAAGTAAAGCACTTAAGAAATTTATTTATTTATTTATATTTCAAATTTAGATACCGCCCATCTCACAAAAAGTGACTCTTGCATGATGCTTCCCACTATCTCTGGCTACAGTTGCCCAGTTTAACTAGCTATTATGAAATCTGAAATTACAATAAACCTTGTTTCTTCTTATCTGCATGTACTGTATGCTAATTTCAAAGTAAACATTGTATTTGCTGAGAAGAATGTCAGTGTCATCAAATACACCAATAGCTATTATTTTGAGTTGAAAGGTGACTCTACTTCCAGAATACTGAATGTGAAAAGCCTATTATAAGTGTCTCATTTAACCTTATCTAGACTATGGGTTCTTCTATGTCCCATTTCCTCAACTCCGTATATGCTAAAGCATGGTTGATAAGATTTCATAAGTTATTGAAAAAGTAAACAAAAGCCAAATTCTTTTTATGTGCATGCCTGAAATACTTTAACTGTATTGCTATTTAATTGTATTCCCCTTTCATTAATCGGTGCCACTGTTTGAAACAATGCCATACCTTCTTTCCACAGTCAAAACCACCATATCCACTTCTACATGCACAAACTTTTGGCTGGATGCATCTGCCTCCAAACAGACATTTTGGTTCACAAAGAGCTGTGACAAAACAACACATACATATTATTTCTAAACGCACATAATTGTATTAAAATGTGAAATATGGCTTGCTTATTGAAGCACTTACGGCCCCCACCCTCATGGCTTTCCAGAAGCAGGTGCAAATGTGGCTTTCTGTAGGGTCTTTGGGGTTAATTGTATTTAGTAATGTGACTTTTTATAATTCTATGATTTCTTAGTTTTGTATTCTTAGTTAATAATATCAATTAGATTTTGCGGACAACCTTTTAATATGACAATCATTCAAGTTTATACTCCAACCACCGATGCAGAAGAGGAGGAGGTTGATGAAGTTTATGACCAAGTTCAATGTGAAATCAACAAAACATGCAAGGAAGATGTGCTGGTTGGGATTGGAGACTGGAATGCCAGAGTTGGAAATATCTGGAAGTTGAGTCATGGCAACTGGACTTCTTTTCTTTTGGTTTGATACGTTTCACTGCTTGGACAAGCAGCGAAGCATATCAAACCAAAAGAAAAGAAGTCCAGTTGCCATGACTCAACCTCCAAATAATTCCACCTGGATGACTGAGAATCTTCATCAACAAAGTTGGAAATATTAAGGAAAATGTAGTTGGATTTTATGGT